ACTATATATCATATATCATATAAATAATTCCTACTACATTGTAGTATCAAACCAGATTTTGATCTGCAAAGTTTGGTAAGGAAAACTACAGTTTTACAGTTATATGTTATAAGCACACTGGCAGAACATACTGTGCCTGTGCAAAAACCATAGTAAATGTATTGTGCATAACACTTCAGCTGAACATCTTGTTTAAGGTTGTATTTGCATATTTTAAGGGATGACATCCCATCTATAGTTTTCAACTGTGTGGGAAAGGTATCATCTGCAACGGGATAAATTATGAAGCAATGTTGACCAAAAATCCAACGAAAACCGTGAAAATTTGTGTTTCGTACAGGCCCAGTATGTTCTGTGGACATCCTTAAGTTACATTAAACTAGTAGTACTTCAATATCTATACGTTAAAAAGTGTAAACTTGTTTCGGAAATGTTAGGGAATGGATTAAGTCACTAGAAGCAAAAAACTTCATTTTTCTTATTTTGGTACAAATTAAATGACACCTTTCTTTGAAAACTTGAATCAATTTATGTCAACTATCATATAACACACATGTAGCCAGTTCATATTCGGTGCTGTCTCAATGTTTGTGTTTCAATATGCATTTCTGTTGAACAAAGATTACTTTTCACAGAAATGGCACTGTGGGAGGTCAGCCAATCTTCTAGGAAAGATGGTCAATTCTGGGCAGTTTCTGAGGAAAAATGGTAATATGTCTCCCCATATATGGATGTCAAAATTCACTGGTAGGAGGATTGTTTTTTTTTTTCGTACCAAAATTGCCTGTCTTGTACCAGAATGTGTGCCAGAAATCCTGGTAATCGGTAAATTTAAAGAAGGTGGCCAAGGACAGACCTAGATGAATCGAAAAAGTCATGGCCTTACGTCTCACATAAGATGAAGTCTTAGAGGATAAATAAGTAACTACACAATGTACCAGAATTGCTGCAATATTCAGTATACTGCAACTAGAAAGGCCACCATTTGCTCAGGAGCAAATGCAGCATATTTCAGGCCATCTCCCTCGACATAGAAATGGACTGTTCCAATATGGACTTTTTGTGAGACCCAAAAAAGAAATGGAATCCTCCATTTAACGAAATGGCCGGAGAAGGGGAAGAAACAAGGGGAAGAACAATATATTTCATCCACACCTATGGTATGGACTGGTATTATATAATAATGCAATTTCATCACTTCCATGGGCAATTTATGTTTAAATTAATGTAAACACTGTGACAACAAAACCCAAAAAAGGATTTGAGGCAACCCTTTAAATTACCAGAAGAACAAACCCTATATATATATAGATACATTAAATTTTTTTGCTATAAGATTGTACAAATTTGTACATAATTATGACAATGTTACCCTGATATAATTTTAACGCAGTAAGCATAATCTTTGGAAACCACTGAAAGGGTAAGAAACATACTGTACAATTAATTAAACCAATTATAGGACAAAAGGGATGTAGTTTTTTTATGCCTAAAGGCCCTTCAAATAGTTTTCTTCATTGTATTACATTTCCAAAGGGTAATTCTTAAAAGTGTAAAAAAAGGTAATTCTTAAAAGTGTAAAAAAAGGTAATTCTTAAAAGTGTAAAAAAAGGTAATTCTTAAAAGTGTAAAAAAGGTAATTCTTAAAAGTGTAAATAAAAGGTAATTCTTAAAAGTGTAAAAAAAAAGGTAATTCTTAAAAGGGTAAAAAAAAAGGTAATTCTTAAAAGGGTAAAAAAAGGTAATTCTTAAATGTGTAAAAAAAGGTAATTCTTAAATGTGTAAAAAAAGGTAATTCTTAAAAGTGTAAAAAAACAACAACAAAAAGGCTCAAAAGGCATTAACGGCTCAAGTTACCAATTTATTGTACACATTCATCAAAATATTGTCACCCATACCTATGTGTGGAAAAAATAAAGAAGCTACATGTTGATCAAGTAGAGCTGTCGCTTCCTATTACATGTACATGTAGGTCCTGTCCAAATATATTCATCTTTGTATTGTGTTGTTTATGATTAACCCTCAGAAACAACTCTTGAAATGTACAGGTAATTATGTTAAGACAGTACAGAACTAGATTAAAGTCATAACTCTAGTTTTGGAACTGAGCTGTTTTGGTGTAGGATTTGACAACAGAATATAGTAGACTCTGATATTAAGTACAGCCTATATCTTTTACAAAAAGGTAGACATCGAAATAGTCTTTTTAACCACACACGAGCATAGGCCAAAGACTTGGAAATATAATTTTAAATATGTTTCAAGCTGCCATTCACAGTGACTTTTAATCTTTTAACCAAATACATGTACATGTATAAACTACATGTCACTATTAACAATGGCAGTAGGGCATTCTTGAAGTAGAAGTGTTCAGCACTTTTTACTTTTGGGCATAGAAGTATTGTTTTGGGTGGCTCAACTGTAGGTTTGTGTAATTTTTTAGGTTGACAGCACATGGGTGGGAGAAAGATTGACAGACAGAATGAAAGGTCAAAAGGTTAGAAACAGGAAATGGGGTGAACTTGTGAGTAGGTTGACAACACGTGGGTAGGGGATGGGAAGATTGACAGGCAGAATGACAGGTCAAAAGGTCAGACACAGGAAGTAGGGTAACTTGAAGGTCACAAAAACCCAAATACTTCCCAGAAGTCTGAATTTTTTTGGTTGTCCAAAGATTCTGTTTTAATGCAATATTTTCCTCAGATTTTTTCCTGGGGTAATTTTGATAAAGAAAAAAAAATTTAATAGAAAAAAGATAGAAGTTGAGGCTAAAAAAGAAAAAAAAAATGAACATTCAAAGCAAATCACAACTAAAAAGCCCTCTGCCAAAGCAACATATGCCTGTTTTGGTAATAAAAAAATCATATCAAGAGCATACCTTGTAAGCTCTAATATATAACTCATTATGTTTTAATAATTACATAGCAGTGAAGCATCTATTCATATTCAGAGATATACACACAAAATTACAGCCATATACATGTAGTGTCATGGGGAAAGTATTATAATGTACAATAATTATTGATATAAATATTTCTTCAAAGGGAAGGGTGAAAATTATGTAGAAGAATTTGTTGTAGGGATCATAAATTTGACAAATTTACAAATTGAGGACAATCCTGGTGATTTTGTTCAACCTTTTTTTAAGCTCATAGAAGCTACAAAACTATTATAAAATACTGGCCAAAACGTCATTTCAATGAGCACTAGAGTCGGGAGGTGGATTGTACAATTAGACTATTGAAAAATGAATATGATTTTTTTTTTCAGAATTTCACTTTAGTGAGGTATCTTTTGTAAAATGATATTAATATCAGTATCTTTCTCTATGCAGGCCATATGCATATTTCACTTCACTATGGCATGAATATTTTAAACATTATAAATGCTGGGAGATTTTGAGCTAGCCAAGGCAGCAAAATGTTGAAAAGATATCAACGAACCAACCCACTTTAGTGCTTCTTTAAAATTATACACTACATTTAGGAGTTTAACTCTTTATTTCAGTAAAACACATTTTTCCAGTATTCCTCCTTATATAATTAATAACTCAAGATGCATTTTGCCATTCAGAACAAAAAGCTGACATATTTACCAGAATAAAACAAATAATAACTTCTCTCAAAAATCACAGGACTTTCTATATATGGCCTTGAAATAATGAACATCCCTGGACAGTCATTTACCACCCTAAAAATCCATTTTTCACACATATATACATAAATTATAGATAATGATATATATATATTTTTATATATATCGTGAAATCCGCTACCGCAATACAAAGTGTACAACTAACTCACTGTACATTCAAGTCACCACAGCATTCAACCTTCAATGGCAGATTACAAAAGTAGCTGCCTGAAAGAAACACAACCACATCAGCTAGGTCCATAAATTCCAACACATACACTGTCTACAACTACTATATTACACCCTTGACTTGGAGAAATAACCTACATCTTTGGACAGTCGCAAAAGTGCATATTTCAATGGCTCCAAACCAAAAACCTGACAAAACCTGTACATTATCTTATTGCTAGTTATACCTGGCCGATGGTATCTCTTATTATCCTCTCCGTAAACAATTATCATAATTCGTACAATTTACACAATACAGAACGGGTTTTAAAAATTTCTTTTTCCATCTCCTTACAATACTGAATTAATGATAAACCATTGACAAAACGTCGAGTTGATATTAACCACATTTCCATTACACGATCATAGCCAGCAAGATCATAGATAAACACATAGACAAGAATATTCCTTAACTGCTTTGCAGTTGTAGTTTCAAAAACACACAGAGTTAAGTTATAACGTCATGCGTTATACGTTATGCTTTAAGAAACCAGATATCTTGAGAGATCCTGAGACGAATGTGAAGACAGAGGATGGCTATCGTTATTCCACATCTTATAACAAACGGACGTTTCTTTAGCCGAGACAGTCTTGAGTGGAAAAAACTACAATGTCATCTTGGAGATAACTGTAAGTTGTCCAAGACCAGATTTACATGTACTAGTGGGCCAAAAACTAATGGTACGAAAACTATGTACAGACACGAGCGTACAAAACTGTAAATACGGCAAATTTTTCCTGCATGTAAATCAGCCTGCTTTGACGTATGTCAAGAACGTATATTCAGATCATGTGTTACCTCAAAGGCTGGCGTACAGTCTGAACATCTGTGTAAATTGGCCTGCTTTGATGTACGCCAAGAACCTAAGACCCCGTTCAGACTTTTAAAAACCGGTTGAAACTGCTAAATTATTCTCGCTCTTTTACTGAATTTGCACACAGCCCTGTGACCCCGGCCCTGTGACCCTACATGTATCACGCAAAAACTGATCAAAAAACCCTTAGCATTCAGACCAGGTTTTTTTGTTAAAAAAACCCTAAAAAAACACCTTCCGAGGTGGTTTTTGAAAATCAGACTTAAACCCCTAAAAACTGGTTGATTTGCATTCACACTAGGTTAAATAAAAACCCGGTTTATAAAAAACCGCTTGAAACCGCTAAATATAAGTCTGGTCTGAACGGGGTCTTAGTTAAGATTGTATGTTACTTCGAGGACTTGCATACAATCAAAAGGTACATTCTTGACGCACGTCAAAACAGGACGATTTACATGCAGGAAAAAATTGACATACAGTTTTCGTATGCTCATGTTCATACACAGTTATTGTACCGTCAGCTTTTTAATTTCCCCATGTGTATGTAAATCAGGTCTAAGCCATGGGATGGCAAGCTAGTTCAGTCACTCCTTCAAACCAGCCGCGGACAGCTCGGAGGACAGGGACGAACTCAGCGTCCTGTCCGAACTCGTCGACTCCATTCCCAGAAGTTCTGTCAACAGTTGACACGACGGCAGTTGTCCCGTGATGTACCTTAAGACAAGATACACACAACAGCGGACAACGTGAGTACAATCTTCAGAAGCAGCTCCGAGGTAGGATAAGAAGAGCTTCTCTCATCTTCAGGAGTAGAAAAAGCTTGAGAGGAAAACTTAAAACCTTTCAACTTGAGCCAGAAGAAAGCATAGAGAAAACCACACAAGTCTGTAGGAAATACAGTCATGTAAAAGAAATGATATTAAAAGGCTCCGCCCCTGAGGCATCACCAAAAAGCACATGCACAGACAGAAGAGCAAAGTTCAGAAAGCAGCTTGTCATGCAAGTGCACTCTCACATGACATTACTGTGTATTAACAGTAACTTGATGCAGAATGCTGCAAACCATAATATGTGATTAGGAAAGCAAGAGAAGCAAAGATGTACAATGTAGGTTGAACAGGCGAAATTTAGTACTAACATACATGTATGGCAGAGAAATGTATGCTTCCTATCAATTACTGTCTTCTACTCTAAAGCTACTGCACGAGTAAGATTACAAGCGATCGCCATGACATCACAGCCAGCGAGTGGTAGGCAAAAAGCAGGGGACAGTCGCATGATTTGCATACTGATAATTTGCATATGCCTTCAAATAATTTGCATGTGCATGATGTAAGCAAAAACAGTGATAAGTCGTTTTCTGACCGACAAACTACAGTACAGTGTTCCAGCCAGCGTCCGTCTTTCTGTCATTTGACGGAATTTTTCCAACATGATGGACAATAATTTTGCCCAATCCGTCATCTTTAACAGACAAAAAACGATGTGCAAAGATATAGAAAAAGATGTCATTAAACTGGGCTTTATCTGTAGGCAAAATTAGCCCCCCAAAATGAAGGAAATAATTTCAGAGTGTCAAGATTTCAAAATTTTCCAAGGGGAGCAAATGCCCCCAGAACGCTTTTAGAATTTGGCACTCAACACAATTTGGCACTCCTTTGGCACTCGATATGTTCTGTCAAACAAATTTGAGATGATGGAAAAAAATTCAGGCTGGCAGGAAGACTGCTGCAGTATCTACATGTACATCTTAACCCTTGTCCTGCTGACATTTTTTACACAATATTTCTAAATAATTTTCTGTCTTAATTACATGTAGGTCATAAGACCCCCGACTTTTTTTGCCCTGCGGTGGCATAGTTACTTCCACATTTGTTGCGTTTCGCTGCGGCGTGATGCGTTGCACAAGAAATACACCCAAATCATACCTATACAGAGTGATATACATGTTTAGATGGTTCTGTATTGTGCAAAACAACAATTGTTTGGCTCCGCAGGACAAGGGTTAAAACTTCTGAGACTTCCTTACCTGAAGACCAGGTGGTCCTTCCCGATGAAGCAGGCTCTCTCGATCTCTGTCAGCCTCAGTAGGAGTTCTCCTGTCTTGTTGGGCTGTTCTGGGTAGTGTGACTCTGTGTACGTCTGTAGGGCCACTTGGACCTGGTCCTGATAGTCTAACAGGACATTCCGATGCTTTATCCCCTTCACATCTACACAGAGAGGGAAAATACTCAAATTTGAAGTTTGGCAAGATCCAGCATACAGTACACATGCCTGTAGCCAGGAATTTGATTGGGGGGTTCTTCAAACTGCTTAAGGGGACCTCGAGCGCTGTAGGCGTGATGCAAAATTTTTTAAAATGAACCTTCTAAAATGGCATTTCGTGCATTTTTGAGAGGATTTCCAAGAAAAAATCAGAGATAAACTTTTATTCAATGACAAAGGGAGCAGTTTTTCTACGATTCCAGTCCATCTTTTCAAGAAAAATCTTGAACCTTTACATAAAAAGTGGACCTTTACATAAAAAGTGGTCCAAAAAGTGGACCTTTGAGCCTTGTTCTTCCGAACCCCCCCCCCCTGGCTACGGGCATGGTACATGTACCTCCAGGAAATATTTAGGTCTGACATCAGTGAATATTAGACATCCGGGTAGCAAAATCCAACCATTTCCAGCTTTTGTCACACTCTATACCAACACACAAATCCATCCAGCCCTTCTTGAGAAATATCTTGCCAGTGTTGGACCTCATCAAGTGTAGGCTATGGTATTTTCCGTCTCGTTGACGGTCATCGCCTTTTGAAACGGTCAATGCCTTATCAGCACGGTCCATCCACAACGTGATGTTTCGTGGTGTAAAAGGTTTGGTATAGGATAGGGGTTTAAAGCTACCCTTTTTGTCCTGGGTTTGAATCCGAGCTTATGCTTTTTCTTTTTCACTAAAACCTTTCTTCCATGATCCTCCCTTACATTTGCAATTCAAATGTTGCTTCTTATAGCACATACGTTTTATACGTTTTTGGACCTCAAAAAAGTTAGGATACTCTCGGATATGGCATTGACCAGTCAGCGATATGGCAATGACGGTTCTGAAAGGCGATGACTGCTTACGAGATGGAAATTTGCGTAGGCTACGTCTGCAAAATGCACATCCAGCTGTATTGGAGAGACTGCACCCGGCAGGAAAATGAAGAGGATAGGTCACTGGACATTTACATTGTACATGCACCCTCCAGGCTACCGAGCTATTATCTATTGTGAGCTTCAGGACAAGTCTAGTGTGAAACTATCGGATACAAAAGGGCGTCCCTGAATCTGGGCCAAGGCGATCTATTTTTTGCTGAGTTGACCGGCATGAAAGTTGACTGAAATTGCGTTTTTCCCAGGGCTGTCTCCTGGACCCGTCATTCCGTCCCCCGAAACGGATAAAATTTCACCCTACGTAATTTAAGCTTCCTGACATGTAAAAATATCTAGGTTGCATGGTTTAAAATTTTCCTAAGTGAAAATTTGCCTCTGAAAAAGTGTTTTCTTGTTATTTCTGGGATAGAAGTATTGTTTTTGGGTGGCAATAATTCATGCTAGGTTTGTATGCTTGGGTTCCAGGTTTCCCCATGCACTTTGCAACAACAAAAAGTGAAAATTTGCCTCTGAAAAAGTGTGACATAGCATTTCAGCAGATTGGAATTAAAAACAAATTGTGGGAGCATGCCCCAGCACATTACTGGTTTTTGCAACACCCCCCCTTCAACAATGAGTAAAATTGTTGGACTAAAATTTCAAGCTACAGACTGCAATGGTTTTGCTACACTTCTCATAAACATATAATCTCATAAACAACACATACATGAACATTGTAATCCCGCGCTTGTATAACATATTTTAAAATGTGTAGTGTATTTGTTAACATGTCGATGCTTTGTACATTATAATTCAGTTTTTAACTGCGTTGAACCAATAAAACCATCTTGAATTGGACAGTCAACATGGAATGCAACAGGTGCCACAATGTGCAGTAAATCATCAATGTTTCAATGTTTCGTTGACTGAGTATTGTTCTTACCTGGATTTAGTAGAATGAGGGCCTTCAATGCGACATACTCGTTATGGTCAACCTTTAACCTCCGCAAGTGTTCCACCTGTAAGGAGCATGGAAAATAGTCAACACTGTTGTAAATTTATAACCACATACATGTGCATGTATTGTACAACCATACATGTATGTGGTATAGTACATTAGCACCCCCTATCAACCTTTGGTGAAACTGCAGGTTACCCAGCTCTTCCTATAGGTTTTTTGGCTGGCATACATGTACATGTAACTTCCCTGTCATAACATACCAGCTTCTTAGACATTTGGCTGTTGCTGTCTAATATATATTATGTGATGTATATTTCACTTATTATGAGACTTGGTGATGTTTATTATGGGCATCCAATGCGATTTTTGGGCAGCAAAACAAACATCTGAAAATCTGTCAGTTGTAATTTCTTAGCACATTTTTGTCATCATTATATATATCCCAAAAACAAGCTACATGAATAGTCTCTTTATTCTTCGGTACCAACAGTAAATAACAAGAGCCAGCCTTCGATACGAAACAACCTTTTTTGTTTTTCCTTCTGTTTTCCATCAGTGATATCATATTTAATATAAATATCAGAATGGTATGGGATAAAATATCAGAATGGTATGGGATAGCGTTGATTCAACTTAGGCCACAGTAAGTAATTTTTATGGATGACATCAGCACGCACATTAATTTTCACCTGATTTTGGAGAGAAAAAACAAGAAACTTTCTTGCCTTCTGACAGTGATCAACATGCCAAAAATGGGCAAAGATGTCTGTTGCCATGCCAGAAGGTTAATGGCAGATAACTATGAAGAGAGGTGACAAGAAAGGCTCTGATTTAATGTTTTGTTTCTTACTTTGATGCAGTGATATGTGATGCTGGCTGTGTATATGTGATATTCCCACTGAATCAAAACCATTTGTACAATCATTATGATTGAGTCAAAATTTGAAATTGTAGGAACCTTGTTTTTTCGGCTCGCCTTGTTTTTTTTCGCCCGCTCCCATTAGATTTGGAGTCTGCAAAGGATGTCATCCATAAAATTTACTTCCTGAGGCCTTACTAAAATGACCAGAAACTTGACCTTGAAAAGTGCTTTGGGTGCCTTTAAAGGACACTACAGAAAGGGCCTTACCTGGTCTATCATGCGTGTGATGAAGGCGTCCAACCCTAGTGACTCTGCTTTCTTCTTGCCCTCCTCGGTTCCATACAGCGCGCTGGTGTGAGGCAGGGAGTGGAAGCAGGCAGACAGCAGCAACAGGTTTCCCCATGCACTTTGCAACAACAGGACTTGGTCCTCACTCTGTGTGGGAGGAAGTACACTTGTTATTTCTGGGACAGAAGTACTGTTTTGAGTGGCACTAACTTACGCTAGGTTTGTATGTTTGGGTTCCAGGTTTCCCCATACACTTTGCAACAACAGGACTGCAACAACAGGACTTGGTCTTCACTCTTTGTGGGAGGAAGTACACTTGTTATTTCTGAGACAGAAGTACTGTTTTGAGTGGCACTAACTTGTGCTAGGTTTGTATGTTTGGATTCCAGGTTTCCCCATGCACTTTGTAACAACAGGACTTGGTCCTCACTCTGTGTGGGAGGAAGTCTGGGCCTCCTTGGAAATCAGCTATTGGCTGAAGGAGCTACCCAGGTGTCATTGAAGATTAAATAAATAAATAAAGTACACTTGTTATTTCTGGGGTAGAAGTATTGTTTTTGGTGGCACTAATTTATGCTAGGTTTGTATGTTTGGGTTCCAGGTTTCGCAATGCACTTTGCAACAATAGGACTTGGTCCTCACTCTGTGGGGAGGAGTACACAAGATTGTTAATATTTCTGGGACAGAAGTATTGTTTTGGGTGGCACCAATGCTAGGTTTGCATGTCTTTGTTCCAAACTAAGTGGGCAGAGATTGATTTCACTGATAGTTGTGTCAGCAAGTGATGATATCTCACTTCAGCACCAAGGTCAGATGCCACACACAATGTATCCAAAAAATAAACTAAAATTTGATCAAATAAAGATTCAATTGTAGATCTTTATAGCATGCTACCTCAAGGTGAAGCTCTCCTCGAAGATGGAACCTCTATTAACCTCTTCCTACAGATGAGTTTCAAAAGCTCTGATGTACATGTACATATACACTACATGTAGAATACCGTATCGCCCGAGGTGCCAGCCTGACCGTGGGTCGACGGCCGAATATTTATATGTCATACCCACCTAATAAAACAGACATTCCAATGCAAAATGTGCTAAAATTTGGTGTATTTAAACGAAAAGTGTAACGGCGTCAATTCCAACATCCGAATTTGGTGTTCGAAGTTTCGAAAGCGGCACACTCAGTGCACACGAAAAGCATTCAAATTATTCTATAGAACGTCGATGAAGGTTAGACATCCAGGTAATACGATACGCCAAAAAGCAGTTACTCAAGCAACTGCATGGATATGATTTTGGAAATGGTCAGACGTTTCAGCTAGTATCCACTAGATTTCATCAGTGACAGTATCCTATAGAACATTTGGAAGCCAGGGCCGTACGCGTAAAGAACCCCAGGCTGTACCTCTAGTTATCACATGGGCTGGAACACCCGTATCGAACGTAATCGCAGCCCAGGTATAACATAAAAATAAAATGAAGCCACCCACCTCGACTTGTGAGAAGAGGGGCATGCGGCAAGCCCATTTCACCATCTTTCTCAGCTGGATCTCAGTCATCTGACACAGCCGGGCAAAGTCCAGCTCAAACAGATGCATCTGCTGCATCTCATCCATCAGAGACTCCAGGGTCAGGAACTCCTGTAGGATGGGAAAACCGGAGTTTTTACTACACAAAGCGAGTGGCGTCTGTGTGGTGTAGTGGATAGAGCACCCGACTGTCAAGCAAGGAGACCCAGGTTCAATCCCCAGGGTTGGACCCGGACATGCACCCAGACATTGTGCCCTTGGGAAAGGCACATATTTTCCCTCTCAATTAGAGGGATCCTGGGTTTAGGTTGGCGTTAGGAAGGGCATTCAGTGGTAAAAATCTTGCTCCAAAAAAAGACATTAAAAGTGCAAGCACGTCTAACCCCCATTTCGTGGAAAAATGACGTTAAAATTGGATTTAAGGTAGTACACAGTATTCATGGACAAACCTAGTAGTCAATAGTAGTTTGGCCACAAAGTAGAGTACTCGAGAAAGCTGCAGAGACCTCTTGGTCCAGGGTCGCTAACTGCTGGACTATGCACTCTACTTATCATAAGTCCTGTTTTGGGTTCCTGAGGTGTGGACTAGTTGTGTACAAAGGTATCTGTTTGTCTGGAAAGAGGTCTACTAAGTTGACAGTACATGGGTGGGGGAAGATGGACACACAAAATGACAAAGGTCAAAGGATATTTAGGAAGATAAAGCCGATTTTCATTTGTGCTGTCTACACATGTAGACTACATGTACACTGTACATGATTGTATATGTGGTTGTCCATAGTGAAAAAAAAACTTACAGCACTCACAGTATTCTTTAGTAGACTTAATTGGCATAAATAACGACACAGAAGTTTCCAATAACTGACCTGTAGCAGTGGTGGTATGGTTTTTTCCTGAGGGTATTCTGAAAGAGGCTCTTGCTTGACTTTCACCATGGCCTGGTTCCTGCCGTAACCGTTGGCCGAACTCGACGACAGCGGGGTGAACGGAGCGAAGTTAATCGGTCCCGCCATGGAGTGTCGCCTCCGCTTGGACTCCCCGTAACCGTTGTTCTTCAGTTTGGCGGTGTGCAGCGCCCCTTCGTACGTGGAGCGGCCGCCTCTCGTACGATCCTCGCGTATGGCTGAAACAATTCGAAATAATACCATTATTTTTCAAATTCTCCCTGCTGCCTAACCCTATGACCAATAGAGAATTAGTAGCTAAATGGCTACTTTGGGGTGCGAAGGGTTATCTACAAGTATAGCAAGGTACTTGTACAATGTAAGCACATTGAGATTGCTGAAACAGTATTCACTGCAATGCATTACAATAATGAACAATGGTTCTGCAATGCCATCTATCTGTCAGCATTTAAACTACAGCCTGTAACAGAAATGTACAACATGTAAGACAGCAAAAATCACTCCATATGAGTATGGCATAATCAATTCAAGGTGTAGGTTTACTGTAAGTCTTTGAATATGATCACAATTACTGATTATGTTATGGAAAATTTTCTACCTACAGGACTTAGATGACTTTAACCCTCCTCCTGCCACCTAAGCTAAAGTAAATAATGTATGCTTTCTTGGCAAGAAAGAGGTTAAGGAAAAATCTAGGACATCACACTCACCTTCAAGTTTCATCCCTTTAGACAAGCACTTGGAGAACCTGCATGCAGGGCACCGTTTTCTCGTCTTCAGAGACACGTCGCACTTGGCCGCGGCCAGACACTTGTAGTTTTTCTTGTTCTGAATCGTCCTCTTAAAGAAGCCCTTACAACTCTCGCAGGAGAAGATCCCGTAGTGGAAGCCGGATATCTTGTCTCCGCAGACCGGGCAGGGTTTTCCCACGGGGCTGTCGCCGTCCGCGGCGGTGGTGGAGGACGGTTGTGAGCTGCTGTCCTCGCCGACTGATTCGCTGCTGGTACTATCCGGTTGGCTCGTGTCCTGGAGCGCCGCCACCGCCTCGTGTTTCACCACGGGCGGGCGGGGAGACTGCGAGGGGCCAACGACCGCCACCGGAGCCGGTTCCTCGGGCAGCGATATCGGTCGAGCACGGGCTGGGGAGGAAGATGGGCGAGGACGGCGGCAGGAACATGCTAGGATGCGACGACGTTCCAGGTCAATCATTCCCCCGAACATTGACCCCGTTGGCATGGGAACCATTGTCGGGTAGGGATAATTGGGAATCTTCTGGTTGGCCGGCGACCTAACCGGCGACTTCTGTCTCATTCTCTGCGGAGGAGGCATGTTCATTCCCATGGTCGTCATTTGGTGGTGTCCATGATGCAGGAGCCGGGGAGAACCTTTCATCATCATGTCCTTGTCTTGTAGAGTCGACCTCCCGGTGGAGGAGAGGGCCTGATGGTTCGCAGCCGGCTCCATCAGGAAGGGAGACGTCGGAAGGCCGTCCCGGCTCTTCCCTTTGGACGCGTGCTGCCTCGCTCCCAACGATTTCACCTCCCCGCTCGAGCTCGCTTTGATGTCCTTCCACGAGAGGTCAAGGGCGTCTTCTGGCGGTGACCTCGTTCTTCTTTGTCCGCCCTGTTTGGGGGGAGGACTGAAGGGGCCGAAGTTGGACTTGGGGCTGAGCGGGGTGGACCAGTCACAGTTGGACATGGGAGTTCTGGGGGAACAGATAGGAGAGTCCAGGTTAAAGTCAAGGTAGGACAGTGGGGAGCAGTAAGGTGTGGCGGGGGAATGTGGGGTGGAGAGGCTGCCGTCAGAAGTCGCGGGAGAAGAATCCTTCCACCTCTTGTCTTTCTTCGGAGGTGGGGTGGGGGGCAAGTAGTCTTTATCTTTCTGAAACGTCGACAGCCTGTCTCCGTCGTCTTTCCTCTTTTCGCCACGTCTCTCCTGTTCGTGTTCCTGACCGTTCACCGCTATCCCAGGGTGGGACCTCGCGTCCGTGGAGGCGTTAAACCAGGGTACCTCGGTACCGGAGTATTCTGAAGACTTGGAGAACATCTTCCAATGCACACGCAGGGGCAACTTCGGAGTCTTGAAGGTGGGCTTGGGTGGGCATAGAAGAGACCTCCCCAAGAAGATATGCTCCCCAAGAATTGGGTTGATTCCTTTGGATACTAGACTTTCAACAGTACTAACTTTGTCATAGGGTTGGTGGTTTTGAGAGCTGTCCATAGGAGCTTTATGTTCAGTCATTGTGCTCGAGTGACCTACGTTTTCACCGGCTGAGCTACACGCAAACCCCTAAGCGGTCCGCAACATCGGAGCATCCCGGGATGGTGGAACAATTGGGAGACGTGCTCGGATGGGCTTGAAGACCTGGGAAAAAGCTTTTGATCCGCTATGTGTAGAGATGAGATGGGTCAGCACCTCTAAGCACCTGGGCAAAAAAACAAAACAGAAAAAGACATCAGCATGGAGACCTAGACAACTTTCTGTGATCGCTAGTGCCATGTGGGGTTGTGTGGTGTAATCGCAGAGCATTTGGCTCAGAACCAAGAGAACCGGGGTTCAAATTCTGCCAAGTCACCAACAATGTGCCATTGAGAAAGGTACTTCACAGGACTTTCCTCAATTTGATGAAGTGAAATGATTATGCCAGAAAAATCATGACCATAATTCATGGGCATTAAACTTTAAAGGAAAACCAAACCAAACCAAACTTCCGCCACCCATAGCTATCATTTTTAGGGCCCAGTCACTTACAATGAACAATTATACGATTGCAAACTGAGGGTAGTCTTGGGACAGTCTTACGTATGTCCAGCAGAATTCAGTTGTCTGGTTACAGAAAAGACTGTCTAGATCCTTTCAATTTTCAATTTCAATTTCAATTTTATTAAGAACAGTCTACATAGCAGGGGTACATAGTACTCCTGAATTGTGTGGACTTTACATAAGTATAAGAAATGCACAAGACAATTACATACAAGAGTGGGACATGAAACATTAGAACACTAGGTCTGCGTTTGGCTATTGTACAGTCTAATTGTGCAGTGGAGGAACGAGTTGTACAGTCTGTTTGTCCGTGCCTTCGGCACCGTGATTCCCCCAGAGTTCCTCAAACACCTCCCTGTGCTGTCCTTATCAACAGTTGGTTCTGTCTCAGCCTGCTTGAAAACTCTAGGACATCAAAATCGTACGACAACCTATACAATGAATGTGACCAGGCTATCACTGAAAACTAGGGGGGCCCATCCTAAAAATGAGAGTTTGACATGAGCATGGTACAATACTCAAGTAGCATATTCAGAGAAAAAAAACATAAAGCACTGTTGGCTAGGGCGTAGAATTTATAACACTTTTACATAGTATTACACCATACGATACAGAAATGTGCACGGACACGAACCCTTCTTTGTTGAATAATATACCAGAAACACATAATACCTGACTAGACATTCTAATACGAGACGAAAAAATGATTTATAGTATGTAACAGCGAGGTCGACATTCAATCACGACTGTGGTTATGTAAGCCATTATAATTCCAGACACATTGGACAGGCTGGCAGCTACGATCCAAAATTATACATTAATACTAACATGAGAATGCAAAAATTACCTCCTTGATGTCATGAAATGAAAGATTAATTTCTACATCAGTTACCTCTCATCTCATCTATCCCTTAGGTTAATTATTTGACCATTGGGGCTCCTCAGACGACCTGACAACCAGTTTTCCCCACCCTTCTTGGTTTTCTGCTCTTCACTTGGTGTCATGCCTGGCCATTCATTCTCTGACTATCTTATATTAGCTGCTATTTTCAGACACCACTGCATCAGAATCAAGTGACATTCAGTTTCGACGACAATAATTGACTGCCTTGACGGAAGTCCCTGTGAATTACGAATCCTCTCTCGTCTACTTGATGGCAAATCGTTCCCTGAGACACGCACCAGTCCGTACACTTACCTCGGATGTGACGCAAATGGGAGGACTTCAACATGCCGGCAGCTCTTTATATGTACTACAGTCCCGTCTGGGGCTTTTATCTATCTGGCCGTGTCGATTTTTACATGGGCCTGCACAATTTGATTGACTTGTCTCCACAAAGAGAAAAAAGGCGGTCCACTTTCTGACAAGCGCCTGGGAAAGGTACCACAGAATGTGGCCGTTTGTCTGTCCTGACCACCCGTTGGGCGAACCCTTTGGGTCGTCCCCCTTTTTTTCCGGGGTCCGATTTTCCCCCGCCCCGAAAAGTCCAGACCTTATGTCAGGGGACGCATTTAAAGGTCGGTAGGTACAACAGACACATAGTCCTGGGAATAGGTTACCTCAGGTATTTTCCGCTGACCTTACGTAACCCCGAGTGATCTAACAGGGCAAAGTTGGGACTGGACAGTCCAAGAATTGTCTGTGCCGCTTTCAAAAGAATCAAACGGCCAGTGACACCACAATACAAACGTATGATAAAAGATGGACACCCGAATACTACAGACCACAACATTTCTTGACCTGCTCTCACTTTCAATGCCCTTCTGTACAACTAGACACTCTTCTGCTTCTTTCCCAGCTGTTGAAAGAAAGTACATTTTACTGTAGAGAGACTTGAATGGTACCTTTATGTCAAGGACTGTCTGTGTGAATTCTAAAAAGGGGTCACGGAGGAAAAGAAAAGGAGGATCCATGGGAAATTCCGAGCTGAATGGTCTCGTGTGACCCCGGTCAGATTTCCGCGTTAAGCTCGGAGACATTGGGTCAGACAGGTGAACGCATTCCTATATGGTAATGAAAGCACGTAGATATCCCCACGTTTTGTCTGATGTCTGGGTGCTTATGTACAAGAGGACTACTGAGAGAATTTTTACATTGAATACGTATGTTGAATGTAAAACCACACAAAAAATGATATAGCCACACTGTGGCCCACACAGATCTTTTTAAAGGGCCGCCAAGCGAGCAGTATAGAACTTTTAGAGTAATTACTCCATTGCAGACAGTTGATGGAATTTATGCATTACCACAGAGTTTAAAGGTAGCGGATTCGTTCTCATCTCTATATCTTAACCTAACCGCTAGCGTCTGGTTTTATCAGACTAAAAGAATGCTTTTCTTTTGAGTTTGATCAAAGAAACTTATATAACCGACCAATTCGCCAACCTACCACCGAACACGGTCTGAAAAAAATGTCTAAAATTTGGCTTGAGTTGTCCAACTCGGGTAAGACAAGTAATCATTCTATCAAAAGCAAGCAAACAAAACACTGTACCCTTTCACGTGCACACAAGGCACAGCGATCCTTGTCTGACCCCCTATTCAACCTCGAATAGCCCTGCGACCCTCTACCGCTGTGCCTGAATTGGCAAATGAATAGGGTTGAAATGAATGGGGCTGTGGGGTCAAAGAAACTTATGGTTGGGTTCCCAGAGGAAAATGGCCATCCCGGTGCGAGCGTTAGACCTGAGTTGATCTCTACTGCGCCTACTTTTCTGGTGTGTTTCTAAAGCCCGTTGAAGCTCAATTCTTCGTGAGGAAATAAAAGAGGTCTGTAAGGTGGTGGGAAAAGGTGAAGTTTGGTCAGGAGGATGGCGTAACCTTGACCTTTTCTTGGTCGTGAAGGTCAGGATTCAATACCAGCCTTTATTCAAGCATGGGACTTAAAGTCAAGGTATGGGAAAATGTGTAAATGTGGATGCCATTTTTAGGGTGTCTGAATCTTTGTAACTCAGTCTTGGTGAAAAGTAGCAACCTCCTCTTTCTGTGATGTCCTAAAAACTACATGAAAAAGAAAAATTACAGTTCTTATAAAGTGGCTAATGTGCAGAAGTGTTAGGACATATTACCATATATATTTCTTCTAATAAAGGATATATTTTTTTTAAAATTTCAACCCTCAAATGGGCACTTTTGGTCAAAGTCAAATTCTGGATGTGCACTTTATTCTGGTTTTCTCCAATGAAAAATCAGGACTCAGCGATTAGCTGAGGTGTCACTCCACTGTACAGCAAGGGAAGAAAGTCGTGTATAAAAGTGCCTTTCCAAAGGCACAACATGTCAGGGAATCGAACCCGGGACCTCTTGGTTCTGAGCCAGCCATGCAATGCCATCAAAAACTACATAGCATTGCAAATAACACTGAGAATAATGACTCTTTCTATTCACAAGCTGGACAATATTACCTGCAAATAAAGGTTAGATTAAACTGAGCATTATTCTTTGAAAGCTGTCCAAGGAGATATGGAAATAAAACTTCACATGAATCCAAATAACCTATCATCTTAGCAGTAGATTAGATAATGCTCATGAACAAGTCGAGGAACTCTGAAAGTTGTACCTACATAAAAGTTGTCATAAAAGATGACATAAAAGTTGCCTTCATTATGAAATGTATGAGGTCATGAAGGTTGAACATATATGAACACAAGAGTATGGTCCAATGCCAAAATCAATTCCAAAGGAAAGGAAGAAAATGTGAAGAAAAGAAAATGAAGAGTCTATTATTTGTCATACGTTCAACCTTCATGACTTCACACATTTCATAATGAAGGCAACTTTTGTGTCATCTTTTATGACAACTTTTATGTTGACTTCAACGACATTAGTATCTTTTTCCAATATTTTTTTTCCAATGTCACAACATATATTTCCTGATTTTGCAGCTGCTTTATACAATTTACATTGTGGTGGAAAACGTTTTTTCTTTGGGAAAATGGACGAAAATTCATGCGTGCTCGGATGTCATACACATAATCAAATGAACATGGCCTTAGTACAGTGGTGTTCAACTCCTGTCCTTGGTGCTAAAATGCCATCCTTCCTTATTTCTGAGAATTTTTTTTTTTTAATGACAATTTACCACATTTGTGGAAGGATTGACATAACAGGTGACTATCACCTCTTCAAAGATGTCAAACCTGAGACCAGACTGTAATGTTTGAACCACTCACACCGGGAGGGTCCCCTACTCTTTTCGATAAGTGCGGTGGGTTCTTTAACGTGCGTGGGGCGTGGCTCTCCCAAACACGGGACCTCCATTTAACGTCCTATCCGAGGGACGTCCCTAGCCGGAGCTAGGTACTCATTTTCACCTGAGTGAAGTGAGGAAAGTCGTGTTAAGTACCTTTCCCAAGGGTACAATGTCGGGGCGCATGTTCGGACCCGAACCCGGGTCTCCCCGTTTCATAGTCCAGTGATGTACCACTACACCACACGACGCCATGGGAATTCCCATTGTTATTATATATGACTAACCACCATCGTGTAACATTTATGTAAGCCTGGCTGGCTGAAGGTCATAATTACTCAACCCCCGTCCTTGGTGCTGAAATACCATCAATACCTCTGGGAAATCTCCATTCTTACCTAAGGCCACAGCAAGTAAATTTTATGGATGACATCTGCGCGCGCATTAATTTTCGCCTGATTTTGGGAAAAAT